TGTATGTTGGTTCTATGTATCCCAGTACAAAGGATTTCAATACCAATACAGGTGTAGCTCAGTTCATGAATGCCTCGGTTAACGTAATTTTTGGGTTACAAATTTTTTACTATTTTTTTTCGCAATACGAAGTGTATCTTTGTGCTGAATTTTAAATGCAATTGCCAGCTTTTTCTTTTCTTCACTATAGCTCACAGAATTAGCTTTCACTTTCCCCGGAGTTACAGAAAACTTTGTTTCTTTTAAGAAGCTAAAATAAACATTGTTTCTTTTAGGGGAATTGCCGACCTTTGTTTTTAGATTCAGCTGTTAAAATATATATTATCTAGATCTTCGAAATATGTAAAACCATTACAGAAATCATTATAAAGGATAAGAAACAAACATAGAACCAATAGAACTAAGGAAATCAAATTAGAATACATAAAGATATGTCTAGCTACAAATAGTGCTTTTTGTCAAACACAGTAGACGGGATCCATTGACGTCTTGCAGAGGACTCCACACAGAGTCTGTGCCACCTGTAGATTTATGAAGAAAAAAAAACCTTTGCTATGTATCTAAATGTTTTTATTTTTCTTTCAGCCGATTAACATCTGGAGTACAAGGCAGATGGAGACCCTGGGAAGCCTGTTGGGATTAGCTGTCTGGCATCACAGGTGGGTTTTAAAAAGTGATCTTAACAATTGTTCCAAAATAAAATAATAAACATGTAAGACTTACCTGCTCTGAACAGTCGTTTGCCACAGAGCAGCCAAGATCCTTCATTTCATTGCTCCCCCGTCAGCATTCCTTGGCCCCTCTCTCCTGTCCAGTGCCCCCAGAACAAGCACTTGTTCTGGTGTGAGCCCAAGAAGACTCACTCATGAGCCACAGAGCCCAGAGATCAATGCTTTTCAACCTCATCAGGGAATCAGGATGGAGCTCAACTTCAAGTAAGCATTAGTGTGCCTGGGGGAGGGGGGCCTTTTGCCTTTCCAAACACAGTAAATGCTCCAAGAATTTTACTTCAACTCCTGAAATGGTAAAAAATTAAAAAGATACTCTAGCTAGACTGCATTGAGAAGTGATTATCATGATGAAATGTCAATTATTCTTTGCTCATTTTACAGGAGTGGTCCTACTTGTGGGTCAAGCTTGGAGAAAGCCACCTTCATGTCCTCCACTTGTGGCCAGTGGGTATTTTGTGGCACCAGGCAAGAACTGGCATCAAGGACCTGCATAAACACCCTGGCATGCCAGAGGTGGTTTGGAAGCAGAACAGCAACTTGACTAACTCTTTCCTCTATGCTGCTTTTGGGGGTGCATAATTGCTTCTCGTTTCTGAATGAACTTGCAACGGATATCGGAGTCCCCATATTTTCCAGATATGTTTGAGCCATGTGCTGTCAAACAGCGGAGCCAGTTTTTGTTTTGCCAAACAATTGGGAGTTGGCAGGCATGTGTTTACATCAGGCCATGTATTTGCCTTTTTATTTGGTTTGTCGAATAAAGACTATTTTTGTTCCTAAAAACTGTGTCAGATCCTCTTGATTTTATTTCCTAGACTTATAATATACAAACTGATTGCTGAAAAGTCAGTGCAATTTCCTCAACATCTAGCTAAAGTCTGTAATAGAAGGACCTACCAGAACAATGCATTCACTTCGAGTGGGCCAGGTCCATACAGTACATATTGGAGGTTTGGTATGAAGGAACATTCACGTTTGGATACCTCAGCTCATGTGGTTTGGGACAAAATATTTCAGGCCATTGCAACATATTGACTAATGCAGCTCAACATAGATCAGGCATAAATAAAAGTGTACCTTATCCATAGAATAGCCACTGGGAGGTCCTATCTGGGCACACAGATCTGGTCTATGCATAATTGGGTACATTCGGGAAAATGAGAATTTTGGAAGCTTTATAATACTAAGGGGTTAGTCCATGCTTGTTTCAGGGGAAACATTACTAATAATTGTATTTTTAGTTGAAAACATGTCCAATTCCTAGATCCATTGAGGTACATAGCAGAGGTTCAAGGTATTCCATAGAAGAAGTTATTGTTCTTCCTAGCTATACAGGTGGCACAGACATAGGCATACACCCAGGGCCACTGTTAGATATCACAGGGCTCCGTACAGCATACCTGTCAGCCCCCCACCGCCTGAGAAAATATCAAAATTATATTGATGTTAAAAATACACAAAAAACGTGAGTTAATAAATAAAGTTCTGTCTGTAATTGAGGTCGTGGGGCAAATTCACATGGTGCTGTGGCCTGTAGAGTGTGAATCAGTGGTTGTTTTTTGTGGCTGTCGCCGCTTGGAGCCATTTGCAGGCAACCTATATTACACTATGGAAATACTGCAGGTCCCAATTTGACAGGCATATGAGTGCAGGTGTACAGCCCTGAACACAGACAGTGAGCATTCAGGGCCACTTCCCCACACCTGTCAGATGAAAACCTGTGTTCATACAGCTGCTGTGCCCCCATAGTGTAACAGGTGGCTCCAGACACATGAACAACCCACTCATTCATGCTGTACAGGCCAGAGGACCTGTGTGAATGTGGGGTATTTTTGACTTTTTGGGTTCCTCAGCCCATTAATTTCAATGGGCTGCCTAACGTGTGGTGACATGCAAAAATATTGCAGGCATATTAGTTTAAAAGTGTGTTGAACCTAACCACACAGTAGTAATGTGGTAGCATGCATTTTGGTGGCTGTGAATGCATCTGCATTTACTAGACGTGTGGCAGTGCAATTGAGTTTGCATGATGGTACCTGCGCACATCTGCAGAGGGCATTGCGTTTCTTTACTGTGCAGGAAAATGCGTGCTCTTACATGCGTTTCTGCACCACAAATGGTGTGAACAAGTCCGGTTCGGTTCACACTATAGAAACGCAGTCTAGATGTGTTTTGGATTCGTTTTTGCATGCACATTTTTTGATGCATGTTTAGCATGTTCTGGTGTGTTTTGGATGCGTTCAAGTGCATTTTTTATGCATTCCAAGTAATTTTTCACCTCTTTTTCTTCAATTTAATTAGGGACATGTGTGTTCAAGTGTGTTTTTGGTGTGTTTTACCATGTTCCAGTACAGTTATGTGCAGAAATAATGAAGCCTGTTTGACTTTTTTGGCTGCACCCAGAACGCACTGGAAATGCAAGCACTGATGTGAACTATGAGACTGGCAACCATATAACCTTCTTTCTGTTCATTTTGGATGCCAAAAAAAGCCAAAGAAATGCATCTAGTGTGAACTGGCCCTAAAGATTATTAGAGGTAAGGGAATGGGACTGACCAGGAATTGTAAATTCCATCAGACTAGTGGTAAGATACAATTATATATAATGCTAGATTTGAGCTAGATTTCCAAGATCAGTAAATTATTATTATTATACAGAATTTATATAGCGCCAAAAGATTTGCTCAGCGCTGTACATTATAGTGGGGGACAGTACATGAGACAATACAGTAACACAAGACAAAACACGAGGGGTTCGAGGGCCCTACTTTTTCGAGCTTACAATCTAGGAGGGAGGGGATAGTGGTACAGGAGGAAGTGGCTGTGGGGGATGGAGTAGTAGGAGGAGTGTAGAGTGTAGATCAGCAATTAGGTGAGGGTGGGGTAGGCTTCTCTGAAGAGATGGGTTTTCAAGGTGTGCCTAAAGGTGAGGAGGGAAGGTGACAGTCTGATGGATTGGGGTAGAGAGTTCCAGAGGATGGGGGAAGTCCTGGAGAAGTCCTGCAGTCGGGCGTGGGAGGTGGAGACCAGGGAGCTAGAAAGTAGGAGGTCTTGTGAGGAGCGAAGATTACGGGTAGGGTGGTATTTGGGTATCAGGTCGGTGAGGTAGTTTGGGGCAGCGTTATGAATGGCTTTGTATGTCAGTGTTAGTAGTTTGAATTTAATGCGTTGGGCAATCAGAAGCCAGTGGAGGGATTGACAGAGGGGGGTGGCGGATACAGAGCGGTTAGTAAGGTGGATGAGTCTGGTCGCTGAGTTCAGGATAGACTGAAGCGGGGATAGTCTGTGATGAGGTAGGCCGGTGAGGAGGGAGTTGCAGTAGTCGAGTCGTGAGATAATAAGGGAGTGAACGAGTTGTTTAGTAGTGTCTGGGGTTAGGAACGTACGTATTTTGGAGATGTTGCGGAGATGGAGCCGGAATGAGTTTGCCAACAATTGGACATGGGGTTGGAAGGACAGGTTTGAGTCAAGAGTGACACCTAGGACTTTGGCTTGCGGGGTGGGACTGATGGTGGCGTTGTTGGTCATGATGGAGAGGGTGGGGTGGGGGGCATGGGCTGGGGGGAAAATTAGGAGCTTAGTTTTGGAAAGGTTCAATTTGAGGAAATGGAGCGACATCCAGTCTGATATGTCGTTCAGTAGGTGGGCGATACGGGTGGAGACTGAGGGGGTGAGGTGAAGGGTGGAGAGGTAAATTTGCGTGTAGAGGTGGTAGTTGAAGCCGTGGGAGTGTATCAGTTTGCCGAGGGAGGAGGTGTAGATGGAGAAGAGAAGGGGCCAGAGGACAGAGCCTTGGGGGACCCCAACAGAGAGGGGGAGGTGGTGGCGTTATAGGTAATGCTGAAGGAGCGTTGGGATAGATAGGAGGAGAGCCAGGAGAGAGCGGAGTCTCTGAGTGTAGTTTATTAAGGAGGAGGGGGTGGTCAACGGAGGACTGAGTAGTGGCCATTAGCTTTGGCGGTTAGCAGGTTATCAGTGATTTTGAATAGGGCGGTTTCGGTGGAGTGTGTGGGGGACGGAAGCCAGACTGTAGTGGATCGAGGAGGTTGTTGTCAGTGAGGTGGGCACTTAGGCGATTGTAGACCAAGCGCTCGAGGAGCTTGGAAGTAAATGGCAGCAGGGAGATGGGTCTAAGGTTGTTCAGGTCGGTGGGGTCCAGGGAGGGTTTTTTGAGTATGGGAGTGATGTGCGCGTGCTTTAGGGGGGGGGGGAGGGGGAGGGGAATGCGCCAGTGGAGAGGGAGAGATTGAAGATGTGGGTGAGGGAGCATAGGATGGAGGAGGAGGGTGATCGGAGGAATTCTGTGGGGACAGGGTCAAGGGGGCAAGTGGTGAGGCGGGCTTCTGAGAAGACTTTAGTGACCTTCTCAGTGGTAGCAGTGCCAAAGGAGCGGAGTGTTGGGGAGGATAAGGTGTGCGGGATGTGGTGGGGGGCAGGGCGGTTGCAAGGTCAGAGGAGGGGAGAGTTGATGGGGTTATAGTGGGAGGGAGGCTAGGTGGGGAGGTAGGTTGAGCATTGGCGATGTCCTTACGGATTGCGTCAATCTTGTTTTGGAAGTGATTGGCAATCTTGTGGGCGGTGAGTGAGGTACTGGTTGGGGTGGGGGGGGAGAGAGTAGGGAGTTGAAAGTGGAGACGAGCCGGCGAGGACAGGTGGAGAGGGTGTTGATGAGGGTAAAATAGTAATAAAACAAAGTGAGCGCTTCCTGGTGTAGCAGCTAGCACATCAAGGTAACCAACTGAAACCTAAAAAGTACAATATATATATAATAAAGGGCAGCGCTAAATAGTGAATGGTATGATCATGATGTGATTCACTCAAAACAAGTCTGTATGCAAAAACCGTAGTATCATCCAAGTGAGCCAGAAATCCAGATGATGGTGCTCAGAAGAAGTAATAGGAATGCGCACTTACCAGATACGAATAGAGTATGTGCATTGAACTATCCTCCTCTGGCTGAGGTATGATGGGTATGGGCAGCTCAGTGGTGTGTAGGTAAGGACTGTGAATCCAGAGATCTCCTTTAGGATAGACTGGGTCTTCAACCTGCTTACAGGGATTTCCTTCCTCTGGGTACTGTGTCAATCAGCAAAAACATCCACTGGCTCTGCAACTTAATGGCTCAGCCAAGTAGCCATAAAAAAGTGCCCATAGTGTAGTAGTTAAAAAAGTAATTTTATTGTAAACACATAAAAATAAGGACAGAAGATAAACTGACCCTTTTTAAGATGGCCGCCGGACCAGCTCGTGGCTCTGGCGGCGTGACGTCACAGTGTTGAGCCTCCACATTCCTATCACTTCTTCTGACCACCATCATCTGGATTTCTGGCTCACTTGGATGATGCTACGGTTTTTGCATACCTATTTAGCGCTGCACTTTATTATATATATATTTGATGAGGGTAGCGAAGTAGGCTTGTTTGGCGGCATGGAGGGAGGAGGTGTAGGTGAGGAAGGCGGATTTGTAGAGGGAGAAAGCTCAAGGGGATCTGGTTTTACGCCATAATCGCTCCAGCTCACGACTGCGTCGTTTAAGATCTTTAGTGTGGTCGTTCTGCCAGGGTTGAAGTGATCGGGGTCTAATGCTACGTGTGGTCAGGGGTGCTAAGGAGTCTAGGGCAGCTGATAGCAAGTCATTGTACATAGTAGTGGCCAGGTCAGGGCATGACAGTGGGAGGATACTGTCATACAGACAGTCAGCTGCAGAGTAAATAAATAGTTAAATAAAAAGAGTGGGGCGGTGATACATAGATTTGCAGATGGAACAGGTGATGTAGGCGGGGGGGGGTAACATTGTATAAGGAGAGGTTTGTAGCAGTGTACAGAAAGAGATCACCAGTCTGGGGGACAGGAAAGAGAAAGAGGACGCAGGTAAGATTCACAACGCTGAGCCACTACTCCCTCTCCACTTTCTATTCAGTAGCCAAAATCTTTACTGATTGATCAATATTCCTGGCACTGATAGAACCCTGGAAATTGACCTCCATATTTTGGGCCTTCACAATTGTCTGTACTGTCAAGGAGCTTACAATCTAAGGCCTGAAACTCAAACATATACTAGGCCCAATTAACCTAACAGCATGTCTTTGGAGTGTTGGTAGAAACACACCTGCACAGAGAAAGCATGCAAACTCCAGACAGGTGCAGCCATGACTGGGATTAGAACCCATCACCTAAGTGCTGCAAGCCCTGAGTGCTAACCACTAAACCACTGTAACAGACAGAGTTTGAGTTGGAATGTAGAATAGTTACATGATTAAAGAGAATGAAGATATATAATTATATTGGGAAATTAGAACTTTACATTCAAAATATTTGAGATATACAGTAAGTTTGAAAATGTTTGACATTTGAAAATAGGATGTATGACTTTGTAACATTCATTAGGAAATGCATTAGTTTGGAGAAAAAAAGGCAAGAACATTAACAGATTCAACAATCACAACAAATACAGAAAAATATTCTCCTCTGGCACACAAAAACACTAACGGGACAAAGCCCGCGCTTGTGCGCCACCTAGTAACCATATCCGGCATTGTTCCTAGAAATGTGTCTAAGCTGTTTTCGTATTTACGCAGAGAACTGTTTCTATAAGGTAGACTTTTTCCAATCAGCTAGCTAGATGCTTTTCTGAACACTGAAAGGTCTTAATTGATTGAATTGAGTCTGCCTGAATGTTCAGTGTCTGCTGGTAGACTCAATTCTTAGTAAATAAGGGCCATAGGGGTTTATTTACTAAAGCTGGTTCACTCAGAATCTTGTGTACCTGTGCATGGTAGCCAATCAGCTTCTAATCTTAGCTTGTTCAATTAAGGTGCAGCAATAAAACCTGGAAGCTGATTGGTTTCGATGCAGAAGTGCACAAGATTCTGAGTGGACCAGCTTTAGTAAATAAACCCCATTGTGTCTTACTTCCCTCACTGAGGCCCATAGAGAACTTATGGAGCAGCCTATTACTGAAGTGGAACTTGGCAAAGTCATTAAATTGTTATCGTTACATAAATCCCCAGGCCCCGATGGTCTTCCAATTGATTATTATAAAACTTTTTCTGAACACCTTCTCCCCCATATGACTTTTTATTTTAATTCTTTGAGAGAGGAGGGGGTGGTTCCTTCTGATGAGAATAAACTGTATATCAGTGCCATTCTCGAAACCTAACAAAGACTCTACTAATGTTCACAACTATCGCCCCATTTCCTTAATTAATTGTGACCTGAAAATTTTGAAAACTAAACTTCCAGCTTTATGCCTTAATTCATTTTTGGCACAATATATTCATAAAGACCAGTCAGGTTTTATCTCAGGTCGTCAGACATTGGATCAGATTTCTTGATCTAATTTCACCTGTCCGCTGTAACTGAGATGCTCCTCTTTCCAGGGAGCTTATGCTTCTTTCTTTAGACCTCCATAAAGCCTTCGATAGCTTGACTTGCTGCAGCATATACGATGCAAATCATTGGCGTCTCCACATAAACTTTTAGCTCCGATCTTTTGCAATCCTGAATTTGTACCTAGTCTAGTGATTGCCCCTTTTTAATGGTGGATCAAGGATTGTTGCGGATAGGGGACTATATTAAAGTTGATCGAATGCACACTTTACAGTATTTTAAGGATAAGTTGAAAATGCCCACTGGCGAAATTTTCAGATATCATCAAATTGCTTCATTTATCCACTTGAAACTTAGGTTATTGGGTGAACCACTGTTACTTACTGACTTTTAACTCTCATGTCAGAATAGGGACTTCCCTAGAGGCCATGTCTCCACAATGTATGCTCTCCTCACTGATCCGAATAGTAAACTTCCCTATATGGAGTATTGGAAACGGAACCTGAATGTCCACTATGACCTTTCGGATTGGCAAGATATTGCCCTGGCACTTTCTAAAGTTTCAATCAATACTACTTTAATAGAAGCTAATTAAGGTGGTATTTGGTCCCTACTCAGATAGCGAGGATGCATCCATCTACTTCAGCGATTTGTTTTCGGCGTTGTAACCAGGTGGGCTCTATGTGAATGATGAACTGCCTATAGCAATTCATTAAATAGCTTAGTGGTAAAAAGTGTTAAACAATATTAGCCAATATTAATGACAAGAATATGATTAGAAAATAATACATAAAAATTATACATAAAAAATGTCCAATTCATGAGAGAATCCAATCAAATGTAAATCTCATCATACTTGCCACGTGCTCAATATGCTGTAATAGACTGCTCACACAATCCAGATAGTCTATATAGAAAAACTACTGGGCTAAAAAGCAAGGGTTTAATCTGATGTATTCCTCTGTGGAACGCAGACTGGATGGTTCATCTCCTTGCTCCTGGTCATGCTGCTATAGGTGAATCCAGGATATGGGTCCTCCCTTCAACGGGCTCTATGTGTTTTCTCCCTATTACTCCAAGTGTAAACTGGGAAGAAAAGAGAGAGGGATAGTGCCTTATCTTTGGTATAAAAGTGAATATTTATTTGTGCCAATATTGCACTCACAGATTATAAAAACATTCAGCACTTTTGGTAAAATAAAATGTGTCCAGCCTGAGCAGCGTGTGGACACACACTGCCTATACTCGCCGTTCCAAGGAGTTGGGTACGTGGTTGCACCACAGAGTCACGTGGCTTCGTCTGGGGGATAGCAATTACATCCCCCGGATGAAGCCATGTAACCCTGTGGTGCAATGCGTTGGGGAGGGGCACTGACGTCACCACGTACCCGACTCCTTGGAACAGCGAGTACAGGCAGTGTGTGTCCACACGCCGCTGAGGCTGGACACAGTTTATTTTACCAAAAGCGAATGTTTTTATATTCTGGGAGTGCAATATTGGCACAAATAAATATTCACTTTTATACCAAAGATAAGGCACTATCCCTCTCTCTTTTCTTCCCGGTTTCCCCTTGGAGTAATAGGGAGAAAACACATAGAGCCTGTTGAAGGGAGGACCCATATCCTGGATTCACCTATAGCAGCATGACCAGAAGCAAGGAGGTAAACCATCCAGTCTGCATTTCACAGAGGAATACATCAGAGTAAACCTTTGCTTTTTAGCCCAGTAGTTTTTCTATATAGACTATCTGGATTGTGTGAGCAGTCTATTACAGCATATTGAGCAAGTCGCAAGTATGATGGGATTTACATTTGATTGGATTCTCTCATGAATTGGACATTTTTTATGTATAATTTTTATGCATTATTTTCTAATCATATTCTTGTCATTAATATTGGCTAATATTGTTTGACACTTTTTACCACTAAGCTATTTAATGAATTGCTATAGGCAGTTCATCATTCACATTTAAGTCACTATCCTAATAAATCTAGACACACATTCACTCATAGGGCGCGGCACCATTTTTTATACTTTATTGTTTATCACTAATATACATATATATGAGGATGTAAAGAGGAGCCTGCGAACTTATTCTTATTTCACATTTTAACTCCTAGTGGCTCACAGGTAATCTCATTGCAGGTGGGCTCTATGTTTCATATCTGGTGGCAATATCCGCTGGGAACCAGATTTTGGATTCGCATGTTTAACTTCATTAATTCGGTGACAGGGGTAAATATTCGCAGATCCCCGGAGATGACCCTCTTTCATAAATTCTCGGATAATGTTCCTAAGCAGTCCTGTAAATTGATCACCTACATGTTGTTGGCAGCGAGAATTACTAAAGCTAGACATTAGAATCAATCGATTATCCCACTTGACTTTGTTAAGAATAAATTTAACTGTATTGTGATCAATGACAAACTCACCTGTATACTACACAATAACACCAAAACATTTGACAAAACATGGGATCCGTGGATTCACTATATTTCTATGCCTTGGTGTCCCCCACCTTGACCCTCTTCTCTTCTTTTTCTGTTTTTTTTCTCTTCTTTCTATTTTCTATTACTCTTATTTTAAAAATAAGAATAGATAGTACCCATTTTTAGCAGGCTTTATAACTCTTGTCCTGCTTAACATGACAGCCATTCTTTAGGTGCTTCTAGGTTTATGGACAGTGGCACTTTCCCTTCCACCTCCCACCTCACTTCCTACCTTTCCCTTTCCTGGGTTTTTTTTTTACCCAGTCCCTACCCTTTTCCCTTCCCTACCACTGTGCCAGTATCTCACATGTGTCATTTAAAGAATATGTACCTTTTTGGTTTGGGCTTCCTGGTAACTCCTCTACAGAGTTCTTTATCTCTGGTCACGTGTTTTATGACAGATAAACTTTGTTATTGAGTCATGTTTTAATATTTCTGTTCTGACGGGACGTTGAGTATTGTATTACTTATTATTTGAAAAATTGTTTAATAAAAACTTTTGAAATATAAAAAACTTGGATACAGTGGGCTTACTTTACATTGGCTGCAAGCTATCAGACTTTTTTTTTACAAATTTGTAGATGTAGTGGAAGCAAATACAGTGGTACACAACAGGTTTTTTTTTTTCTCTTCCTTTCAATTTCTTTTTCTTGTTTTTTTTTTCTCTCCCT